CTGCAAAGGGACTGGGACCAACACGAGGAAAGTGGGGCCAGCCACAAAAAGGAGAGTGAAATCCCAGGAAGGTCCACGTGAGGAAGAGACAGCAGGCAGCCTAGCAAGGTCAGGAAAGTGCTTTCATACAGCAGGACTCAGCAAATAGGTAAATATATTAGGAATAATAGGAGGCAGGCTCTACTTATCAGAAAAGAGAGTTAGAAAAATGAAAAGGCAGAAAGCTAGAATAAACCTTATGGTGCTGAGTTAGAATTATAGCTACTGGCATGAATTCATGGCTTTCTGTATAAACAGACCGAAATAGAAAAAAATGTATGGATATAAAGGATAGGAAGCATGGAGTAACAGGTAATAGCAGTCTCTGGCTGAGGGAGAGGCAAGGATGTAATAAAGAAAAACCCCTTCTGAAGAAAAGAAATACAGGGAGTAACTAAAGTAAATGGTAGAGCAGGACCATTAAGAAAAACTTTCCTGCAAACCAGGCCCACTCTAATTACAAGGTAATGTTAGAGTAATCTGAAGCCTCTGAAAACAATTTTGGCAATGAAAAACTCAATCCAGCTCAACTCCTGACTAAAGCGACTTAACCCCCAACACTAACAGTAGAGGAATGCCATTTCAGATAAAATATTATTCACCTCACTCTTTACTGTTCTAATGATACCTAGCATTCGATCAAACATTATGAAATACATAAGAAAGAAAAACTATCCACTGTCTAGAAACAAAGAAAGTGACAAAACCAGACTCAAAAAGGTTGAAACAAGGCCGGGCGCAGTGGCTCACGCCTGTAATCCTAGCTCTTGGGAGGCCGAGGCGGGCGGATTGCTCAAGGTCAGGAGTTCAAAACCAGCCTGAGCAAGAGCGAGACCCTGTCTCTACTATAAATAGAAAGAAATTAATTGGCCAACTGATATATATATAAAAAATTAGCCGGGCATGGTGGCTCATGCCTGTAGTCCCAGCTACTCAGGAGGCTGAGGCAGAAGGATCGCTCGAGCCCAGGAGTTTGAGGTTGCTGTGAGCTAGGCTGACGCCACGGCACTCACTCTAGCCTGGACAACAAAGCGAGACTCTGTCTCAAAAAAAAAAAAAAAGGTTGAAACAATCAGAGAATGTGACTATGATAAATACATTAAAAGGCCTAGTGGATAAGGTGGAAAAGGCATATGTAGGCATAAGGAATTTTAGCAAAGAAATGGAAACCATAAGAGTTAAATGATGTGCTAGAAACTAAAACAAAACTAAGCTAAGTAAAATAACAGAGATGAAGAATACCTTTAACAGGCTCACAATTACATTACACATAGCTGAGAAGAAAAAAAAAATCAATGAACTTAAAGATAGGTATATACAAATTACCTAAACTAAAACACAAGGAGAAAAAAAAGGACTAGAGACTTCTGGGTTCTGGTCCAACATACAAGAATCCTGGAAATCACCATGCCATCCTAACAAATAAAAAGCTGACTGAACAAACTAAAAAAGCACCTCTTAAGTTGGTAAGAGAAATGAGGTCACAAGGCAAAGCACTGCCCCCAAAACTAGAGACAGACAGGAAAACACAAAGAATCACAACTTACTGGAGTAGAAACTCACAAGAATGAAACCTCTACAAGAACCAACACCTCAGTATAGAAACCTAAACTATAATTAATGAATTGTGGACAATTCTGAGAGTTAAAAATTCCAGAGGAAAGTAATCATGGAGGGGCTTACACTTTTCTAATTAGGTCTTACCTCTTAGAGTTCTACCTGCTTCTCACAGTGAATATCACGGAAAATTTCATCATGCTCTGGCTAGGGGATAAAACGAAATATTCTGAAATACACCAGAGCAGTCTAATCTTAGGGTATGCCCTCAGAAGAAACTAGTTAACCAGAGCCTAACCTGTTGGCATTTTATGAGAGCCTAAGCAATCTTGGGGAGGGGAAATATCAAACTCCAGCCCCCTCAACCTTCCACATGAAGAAAGGAAATGCCCAACTCCGGCCAACTTCTGCCACCCTGTGGCACCTAAGGGTGTTGTGAGATACTAAGAAACACATGTGAAGTTCATAGCTTAGGAGCATAGGCTCACTAAAAGACTGAGACCTAATCACAGCACTACAGACAGGTCCCCCAAACCCTATCACATTACTAAAGGCCTATTTCCAGTAATTCCTTTTACCTAGTACATCATGTTCAGCTATTGAGAAAAATTTACAAGACATATTAAGTGACAAAAAACACAGTTTGAAGAGACAGAACAAGCATCAGAACCAGACCCAAATATGCCAAAAATGTTGTAATTATCATACTGGTAATTTAAAACAACTATGATTAATATGCTAAGAACTCCAGAAGATAACGTAGACAGCATCCAAAAACAGACGGTCAGTGTAAGCAGAGAGATGGAAATTCTAAGAACCAAAAGCTAGAGATCAAAAACACTGTAATAGGAGAGTGGAGCAAGATGGCGGACAAGAAAAACCGCCAGCCAGAGTGTCTGCAAAAAAGACAAGATTTTAGAAGAAAGTATAAGAAATGAGCAAGCAGACAAGCATACATTGGATGAGGGTCAGAAGGAGGGGTACCTAAGACTATAGGAGACTCCACGGGAGGAGAACTGGAAGAAGAGAGCTCCCGAGAAGCTTGGAGACCAGTGACAAGGGTAGGTGGGGCAGTTAACTTCCCCCTCCCTTGCATCTCAGACTGCTGGTGGGCTCTCTGGCAGTTGGAGAGACCTGTGGACACCAGCCAGAGACAGCCACTGCCAGTGAGCAGTAAGCCTGCTGCGGACTCAGTACCAGGCTCCCAGCTCCCTCGGGATACCACACCGTGCACAGACCCAAGCAGCTAGGCAGGCACCATATTGTTTCATTTTCCCCTCCCCCTTCCCTATCCACGGCTGCCAAGAGATACAATATAGCCAACAGTCAGAGGCATCTCCAGGGAACAACGGGACCTTTGCTTTTGGAAAGGATAGTGAGCTCAGATAGTGAGCTCCCTACCCGCCAGCCCTCCCAGGTGCTATTGGCCTGGTGAATCTAGAGAACAGGGCAAATCCTGAGGCTGAGAGACATCGACCCAGCTTGGGCACCCCGTGGGGGGAATTAGGACCAGCACTCCTCTCTCTAGTGGGGTCAGGGATTGAATTCCAGGGCCCAGAGGTCAGACCCGCAGACCAGATCCCGTGTACCCAGGTCTCACGTTGCCCTGGGGCATAGAAGGAATATTCGAGCCTACTAAGGTGTGTGTGCCTTCAGGGGCGGATCAGCGTGCTTGATGGCAACCCTCCTCCCAAGGAAGGGCCATGTGCCCAGCCCAGGCTGTGATCCTGTGCAGGGAACCTCCCAGGCCGCATCACAGCCAGGGGAGACCCACTGGCATGAGGTCCTGCCTGCTGGCAGATGCCCAGAAGAAGCCACGTAGTTGGGGAGGGTGGAAAGGAACGAGGCCTGCTCCAGATTGCGGGTCTCAGACAGCCCCACCCCCACATGCAGACTTTCCAGTTGAGCGGGGCCATTCCAGCCCCTCCCTGACAGCTTTGTCCAGAAGCAGAGAACAGACCTTTTACCCCTTCTAACAGCATTTTTGGTGCTTCAGGGCAGGCTTACTCAACCCAGCTCTGCCCAGACTCACTCTCAGACCAGCCCTTACTGACGTGGAGAATAAGGACACATCTGGAAGTCCCAGGGCCCCACCCACCAACTGAGGCACTAGAGTGCCTCTCCAGAGGAAAAAGAGCTGGTTACAGAACCCAAAAACAACACTGTAGCCTGCTCCTCCCAGCACGTGCCACCTACTGACGGGGAGGTCATTCTGCACAAACTTTTAATGCATCTACTGATTCATCATACAGGGTGTGGTCGAATCTCACCCACAAACACCACCTACTGGCTCAGAGACTAAACAGGGTGTACATTATCCAAATGAAAATCTAAAGGTAAGAAGCAACAACTGATCCAGATGGCAAGAAATCAGCAAAAGAACTCTGGAAGTATGAAGACTCAAATGGAAAGCACACCAGTAAAGAGGAACACCAGCCCTTTAGAAATGGACATCAACCAAAATCAGAACACTAAAATGACAGAAGAAGAATTTCAAACATGGAATGTAAGAAAATTCAATGACTTGCAAGAAAAAATGGATAACCAACACAAAGAAACCACAAAAAAAAATCCAGGCACCGGAAGAAAAATATAAAAATCAATATAAAAATCAATTCTCTCTAAATTTATAGAGGCTGAGGCAGGAGGATCATTTAAGCCCGAGTTCGAGGTTGCAGTGAACTATGATCATGCCACTGTACTCCAGGATGGGCAACAGAGCAAGATTCTTTCTCTAAAGAAAAAAATATATATGCAGGTGAAGTAGTTCCCCAAAAACTGAAATACAAATGACTTACAACTTCTTCCCTTAGTTTCTTTTTCTCTCATTCTTCAACCCCATCCTTTAGCCCTCTGAGAAGTAAAAAGAAATTTCCTAGACCCAGTGCCCCCTCACCCTAGGTCTCAAGTGTATCTATATGTATTGTATCAAGATTTCCAGAGAGAAGAATTCAGAGTTATTATTTTTTATTAATTAGTAGTATTACTTATAGCAGTAAACTGCACTTAATTTCCAAACAGGAAGTTTTAATAATTTTTGGTCTAGGAGGATCTCTATTAATTCTTCCTATTCATTAATTCTGGTCTTATGTGGACCTTTGTTTGGACCATGCAATTAACTGCAGTGGCAAAATCCTGGAGAAAATTCACTCTTGCAAAGGAGATGTAGTGTATATAAAGCGGTGAAGTGAATTTACGTTGTATTGAGATTCTCAAAATGGAAAAATCATTATTTCCAAGGAACAGTTGTGCCTAAAGCATCCAGTTCTTTCATCATATTTTTAGGTGAGTTTGATATCACTCAATTTTGAAAAATGATATGCTACTAGGGAAATCTTTCATTTTATTAAATTCCATTCATAACCCCTCCTCCCCAAACAAACATGTTACTTGATTTTGCTCACCTCCTCTCCTGAAAGGTAGTATGCTGCAAGTAGGCCTCCAATAAATCGAATGTTGACTTCAAACACAGATACCTCTGAATTCTGTGAAAACATTGAATATACATAATGCTTTATAGTTTTCAAAAATATTTTTAGTACTTCATTAGTTTCTCACAAAACATCCTAAAGAAAATGCTTTTCCACTTTCTGCATCCTCGTTTCTCATGCAACTGCTATCTCACCTCCTTTTTAACATTACTGAAACTCCTGATACTGTCACTCAGCTTCCTAACTGCCAAAACCAATGAGCCATTTTCATGTACCTTACATAGTACTGTGAAATTTAACAGAGATTTAACATTGTTGACTACTGTCCCTTCCTCATGAAAGCCTTCGCTTCTTGAATTCTGGAATAGCACTCTCTACTGATGGCTCCTTTCCTTCTGTTCTAATCACCACAGCATAATTTTTACTTTTATGTCTCCTCATAAATTTTAAATAGTTTTCCAGATATACATAATAACTTAGTAACTGTTAAAGGAGGCACCAAAAACATGGTGTAATGATGGATTATTAAATTAGTAATGTTGAGAAAATTGGCTCCTACGTAAGAAATTAATGTGGATAGTCATTTCACATATATATCAAAATGAAATCTAAGTTATTTAGAAATGGAAAACAATAAAGAAGTAGAAAAAATGTGACAATATATATAAACTTCCCTGGGAAGCAGGTACTTTTTGTGAGCATAAAATCAATAATTTTGATAACAAATTAGATGATAGACTTGAAATTTTCCTAAAATACAAATTATCTATAAGAAAAAAATCATGAACAAAATTAAAAGGCAAACAGAAGAAAATTTGGCACAAATATAGCAATATTAATAAAATTACTATAAAGAGTTTATATGTTTATATGTAGACACAGATATAGATATTGCCAGAAAAATTATAATATGTGGAAAGTAGAAGTGGCAGAGAACACAACCAAAGAATCCATAGAATATAGACAACTGACTAATATAAAATTAATATTTATTTATTTTTAATAAAAATTAAAAGAAAAAATGCATTACTCTGAAGTCTTTCCAGCATTCACAGGCAGAATACATCATTTGCTAACATGAGTATATTTCTCCATTATAGAACTTTCACAATATAACATGATTTTTTGATAACATGACTGTTAACCCACCCCACCCCCGAAAGCAAAGTGCTTAGTATTGTTTCATATATTTCCAACATATAACATACTGCAGGGCACATAATAGACATTCAATTAACATGGGGAGGAAGGGAAAGAGGGCAGGAGGACCTTCACCACTCACCAAAATTGTAATAATAACCTTCTAGCCAGTTTCCCTGCTTTCATCCTTACCCTCCTCCTGACACTACATTCAGTACACTATAGTTAGAGTGAGCCTTTTAAATCTTATGCAGTTTAGGTCACTAATCTGTACAAACTCTTATAATGGCTTATTACATTCAGAGTAAAACAAGCCAACATGCTCAGAGCCCCTACAATCTCTTTGACATCTCTCCTACTAATCCCTTTGACTCACTTAACTATTAATATATGGGCCTACTTGCTGTCCCCAGAATTGCCAAACTCAAGACTCCTGTGTCAGCCTGTATACTTGTTATTCCCTTTCTGGATGCCTTCCCTTTACATAGCTAAATGAATCACTCTATTACTTCCTTCAGGTCTCTGGACAAATGTCACCTTATCAGAAATTTTTCTGACCAAAATAACATGTTTCCCTGAAAATAAGACAGGGTCTTATATTTATTTTTCCTCAAGAAGACACCCTAGGGCTTATTTTCAGGAAATATGTTATTTTTTTAACGTACGGTACAACAATCTACATTTATTCAAATATAGTTAAGTTGTCTTCTTCTGGAACATCATCACAACTCTCCAAACCCCAAATTCCATCCTGAATTTCTTGCGAGTCTATTTCCTTTAGAACCATTGGCCCCAATCTCTGTCAAGCAATAGAGCTCTCAAGGGGCAGATGAGAAGGGCTGCTCGTCTTCTTTACCTCTTCTCGAGGAAATGCATGGGTTGCGCAGATATGCTGTGTAGCCACGCTCATCACTAGGTCTTATTTTCGGGGTAGAACTTATATTGCGCAAATGCTTAGAAATCCTGCTTGGGCTTATTTTATGGGTAGGTCTCATTTTCGGGGAAACATGATAGTAATCCTCTATCACTAATATCCCTTCCTTACATTATTTCCCCAATTAACACTTATTACTTATCTGATTACTATATAATTATATAGTAATCATATATTTTTATTTGTAAAATTCATATCTTCCTTCACTAGAAAGAAGATGTGAGAAGTTCTAGAGGGCGAGAAGGGAGAAATGGAGAGGCATTACTGTTAGGAATAATGACTGAGAATTTTCTAAAATTGATGAAGATGTGAGTCCTCAAATTGATAAAACATTATGAGTCCTTTAAAGAATAACGCATAGATAAACACATGATAATGGGTTATAGAACAACAAAGTGAAAAAGAAAATATTAAAACAAGGGGGAAAAAGATGGAAGACCTTTTAAAAATTAGATTGATAGGACACTTTTTAATAGCATAAAAGAAGAGGAAAGACAATGGAACTGTACCTTTAAAAGGCTGGGAGAAAATAATCATCAACCTCTAATTCTATTTTCAGATACAATTTTTTTTTTTTTTTTAGTAGAGACAGGGTTTCGCTCTTGATCATGCTGGTCTCGAATTCCTGAGCTCAAGCAATCCTCCCACCTCTGCTTCCCAGAGTGCTAGGATTACAGGCATGAACAACTGCGCCTGGCCAATTCTCAACTATAATATCTAGTAAGAGAGAGCCATATTATCCACATGGCTTCCCTTGAGTGTCTTCTCAAAAATGTCAACTTAACCAAGAGTCCTTGAAAAGCTACCCCATGTAAGATAGCAATATCCACCACTACAAACTAGACTCCTACTTACTCTTCTTTATTACTTTCCACAACACCTGACATACCATATATAACTTGGATATTTGTTTATTGTTTTTATCCTTCACTAAAGTATAAACTCAAGAAAGAAAGAAGACTCTGTTTTGTTCATTATTATATCCACAGAATCTAGAAAACTGTTACAGAGGAAGCACTCAATAAATGTATCTGTTTAGCTATTACTTACCTTGGAAGTTTCAAATATAAATTGGGACTAACTAGACAATGATCACACATATGACAAGAGGGAGGAGGTGAGCTAAGTTAACAGTATTATAAAGTTCTTGCAAGCTACAGAAGGAGGATAAAGACATTGATTAATTTTAAATTTTGATGAGTATATACATTAAAACTTTAAGAATAACTCCAGAATGAATGGAAAGTATAAATGTCAAACTAGAAGAGGAAAAAAGAGACATGATTTAATCTAAAGACTGCAAACATAAAAGCAAATGAAAAATACAATAATATGGGTAGCAAAACAAAGATGGAAGCTCTAACTCCAAATATATGTTATCACAGCAAATATAAATATTTTAAACTTAACAGTTAAAATAAAAAGACTCTAAGACTGGGTATAAAAAACAAAGTTCACTGTAATCCTAGCACTTTGGGAGGCCGAGGCGGGCGGATTGCTCAAGGTCAGGAGTTCGAAACCAGCCTGAGCGAGACCCTGTCTCTACCAAAAATAGAAAAAAATTAATTGACCAACTAAAAATATATATACAAAAAATTAGCCGGGCATGGTGGCGCATGCCTGTAGTCCCAGCTACTCGGGAGGCTGAGGCAGTAGGATCGCTGAGCCCAGGAGATTGAGGTTGCTGTGAGCCAGGCTGACGCCACGGCACTCACTCTAGCCTGGGCAACAAAGTGAGACTCTGTCTCAAAAAAAAAAAAAAAAAAAAAAAGTAGTTAAGATAGTTTAGTATTGATATAAGGATAAAGAAGAAAGCCAATGGAAAAGAATAAATTAATACGACTAACATATGACTCGTGGCATGTAAAAATAGCAGGGAAATAAATAGTGCTAGGATCAGTTGATAATTTCCTATTTTACACTATATACAAAAATCAATTCCATACAAGTTAAAAACTAAATGCAAAAGCAAAACTTTAAAATGTTTAGAATAAGGCCAGGCATGGTGGCCCACCCCTGTAATCCTAGAACTCTGGGAGGCCAAGGCGGGAAAATAGTTTAAGTTCAAGGAGTTCAAGACCAGCCTGAGCAAGACCCCATCTCTACTAAAAAAAATAGAAAGAAATTAGTTGGATGACTAAAATAAACAAACTTAGCCAGGCATGGTGGTGCATGCCTGTAATCCCAGCTACCTGAGAGGCTGAGGCAGGAGGATCGTTTGAGCCCAGCAGTTTGAGATTACTGTGAGCTAGTCTGACACCATTGCACTCTGGCCCGGGCAACGATGAGACTCTGTCCCCAAAAATAAATACATAAATAAAACATTTAGAATAAAATATAAGACTCTTCATGACCTAAGAGTAGGAATTTCTTGAACAAGATACAAAAAGCACAATCTATAAGGGTTACGTAGCTACAAAGAAAAAAGACATTTCTCAGCTTTCCTTTACAGTTAGGTAGGGCCATTTTAGGAAAGCTTACAAGCAAAAATGGTTGACCAACTCCTGAGAAGTGTTCTTAAAGAATAGTCACATATCTTCCTTCTGTCTCTTCCTCCTTTCTGTCAAATGGAATATAGACAAGATGCCTGGATCTTGAGGAACTATCTTGTACCACTGAGGTCAAAGATATACACTGAAGATGACACAACAACAAGCAAGACAAAGGACCGTAGGTCCTTGTTGATCAAGGAGCTACCCAAACTAGCTCTGAACTGCTTATCTCTGTATTTGATTTACATGAAAGAAAAATAAACATCTATCTTGTTTAAGCTATTTTACATTAAGTTTTCTGCCACTCACAGCCAAATCTAAACTTAACTAATAATAAAAATTGTTCTAAGTCCAAAATGCCAGAGTAATATAAAGAAAAGGAAACAGTTTTTGTCTAGTTAGTACTAAGGAAAGCAACAGAGAAGAAATATTATGGATTTAAATCGTAATTTAAATAATGAAGAGTTTGCCAGAGAGAAAAGCACAGAGAAGGAGTGAAAGATACTGCAGCCCAAAGGAATAGCAAAAACAAAGATCATGAAAGGTGATAACAAATATAACAAAACACACATCTTTTAGGTGAAGACTAGTAACAATAAAAATAATTGCTATTATTTACTAAGCACTTGATATGTACTAGATCACCTCAAATAATTATCACAATATTATATGGGATAGCAATTCTATGACAAGTTCAGAAAGAACAAGTAACTTTCCCAAATCACACAGTTAAGATTATAGCTGTGCTGGGCTTCACACCTAAGCAGTACCTCTTAACAATTATGCAAAAGTGCTGGAAGGATGGGCATAGGCCTAATGAAGAAGGTTCACTAAATTTAATGATTTGGTACAAATCTTTTTTTTAAAAAAAAAAACACTCATTATTTATAAAGTAGTTATGGTTGCCTGATTCTTCTAATTCATTGCTTTCTGCACCCCCCCCCATTGCCTTAACACATGTAACAGATTACTTTAAATAATAAGTAACATGAAGATGGTGGGAAAGGGTGTATATTTTACACAAAAAATAAATAACAATTGATAATCTCAAAAGAAAAAGGACTTACGATTTCTTTAAACTGCTAGTAAAATGCTCAAAACTACTATGGTTAGTATCTTGGGCCATTCATGCTGTTGTAAGAAAATACCATAAACTAGGAAGCTTATAAACAACAAAAATTTATTTCTCACAATTCAAGTGGCTGGGAAGTCCAAAATAAAGGCACCAGCAGATTCTGTATCTGGTGAGGGCTCACTTTCTAGTTCCCAGACGGTGCCTTCTCACTGTGTCCGCACATAATGGAAGGAGCCCGGCAGCTTTCTGGGGCATATTTTATAAGGACACTAATTCCAGTCATAAGTACTCCATCCTCATGACATAATCACCTCCCAGTGCCCCACCCTAATACTATCCATTAATGACTAAGTTTCAACATATGAATTTGGGGAGGACACAAACATTCAGAAAATAGTAGTTAAGCACTGTATCTTTTCATAGCCAATCTAAGAGATTAATTATCAATCATATACTCACCACACTGAAATCAAGGTTGTCTTCAATCCATCTTTGCCCATCCAGAAATTCAGCATGAAGTCCCATGATATAAAGGGTATCCAAAGCATCTACTATGGTAGCACCCATTTGTGAACTTCCTATATTTGGGGGAAAAAAAACCTGTCATTAAAGAGATCTCCTTCATATAAGATCTATTTTAATTTTTGCATATATAAGAGTAAACTAAAGTAAGAATATAAAGACCAAAAAGAATACCCAACATTATTCACTTTTCCACTAGACTAAGTAATATACAAACTTTAATATATTTTACTAAAGATGGTACATTGATATCTAATAGGAATATAAAGGAAAACTGAAAGAATAATTCTCCTTAACTTTCTGCCTAGTCAGAATATGAAATATCTACCTACTTAACTAGGATAGGAAAAAAGAGAGAGGATTAATTCAAGAAAAGAGGAGGGTTGTTCAAGATGACAAACTAAACCATAAGACAACCATGCTCTTCAGATCCAAGTTCATAAAAAGGACAAAGAATATATTTAAAAATAATAAATGTATAACAAATATATTTAAAAATAATAAATATACAACAATAATAAACATACAACCAGAGTAGAACAGAAACTTGGTAATCTATAACAGTCAAAAAGCAGGTAGATCATACTAAAAAGGAAAACCATAAAACAAAATATAAGTAGAGAAAAAACAAAATAAGATGTACCTACCTTCAAAAAATAGATAATCCTGATCTTAAATGTTCCAAGGAGAAAGGGAGGGAGCGAGGGAGGGGAAGGAGGGATTAATTCAAAGCCAGACTGATACTAAAACTAAATAATGAAAACACAAGACAAGAAAACTGGCCAATCTTACTAATAAATATGATTGCAAAAATCCTAAGTAAAATAGTAACAAAACAAATCTAGTAGTTTAGTAAAAGAATAAATAACAGGAGATGGGTTCTCCCCAACCCTACAAATGCAATTATTATTTCTGTCCCCTGAGAATGGAAATCATCCACACAGCTTACTGCTTACATTAACATGGCTTTACTGCAACATTTTCTTCAACAACATAAGTTTATTATTCCAGGAGACTTGCCCAGAAAGATAAAAGTTGCAAAAAATATTTTATTGTTCATTCCAGGAACGACCTGAAAGACCTATCAAATCTTCAACAGAAAATATCAAGTGATGGTTTAATATCTCAAGACTCTGAACTCGTCAAAATATTCCCCTTACCAATTCTAAACTATTAATATTATATCATGATCCTTACCCAATCATAACCATGATCTGTACCCCAATCGAAACACTTATCTTAAACCAGATTTAAAATCTCAATAAATATCTCAACTTTCTCCTTCCCCCTTTGAAAGGCTACTACAGCTCTGGTGAAGTAGTGATCTCCTTACAATGGGAAGCATTAACAGCTCTGTCTTACCAGCAAGGTTTTTGGGTGCATTTTAGGAGCCACCATTCAACATTACTTAGTTCACATTTCCCATCTATTATTCTTTCTTTTCTTTTCTTTCTTCTGCCATCCTCTTTTTTCTGGGTAAAAATTTCTTCTGGTGGTTTAAAGCTATCCAAATTTGTTCTTATGATGGCTATCCTTAACTTACATGCCATTCTCTTGTTCATGTGCTCCTAATAATTTCTTTGACTTATCAATATGTGTATCTTCCTACTAACAAGTACTCCAACACACTCTGATAAAGTCCTTGCTCTTCTAATTACTTCCCTTCATGTTGATATTATTTAGGATGTTAGTTCTGGGTTATTACATACTTTCCTTTCACTTTTCTTGTTCCTTAGCTTTTTATTAAGATAAAAACTTTATCAAGCCACTTAATCACCCATATACCCCTAATCTCTGCATAATTGCTTGAATATGCATCGTTTTTATTTTAGTATTTCATCCAAAACAAAACTTACTTTAAATCCTTGAATACTGTTTTTGTTCTTGTTTTAATTTTTGTAGGTACTTATGCTCCTCCATTATCTAGTTATTTATTCAGTCCTTTAAGTGCATATTCCTCTAAGGTACTGACTACCCTGGGATGGAAAAAGACCTGACCCACCTATTCTGTACCAATCCTGGTAAGTACTGCAAGATGCCATGAATTGAAGTGCTCAAGGAAGAGAAGGGCAAAATTAAAATTACTGGCTATCACTATAGTTCTTTACCTACTGTGTTTCCCCCAAAATAAGACCAACCCATAAAATAAGTCCTAGCAGGATTTCTAAGCATTTGAGCAATATAAGCCCTACCCCGAAAATAAGACCTAGTGATGGTATCTGCACAACCCATGCATTTCCTCGAGAAGCGGTAAAGAAGATAAGCAGCCCTTCTCATCTGCCCCATGAGAGCTCTACTGCTCGACGTGAGAGATTGGGGCCAGTGGTTCTAAAGGAAATAGAGTCACAAGAAATTCAGGATGGAATCTGGGGTTTGGAGAGTTATGATGATGTTCCAGAAGAAGACGACTTAACTATATTTGAATAAATGTAGATTGTTGTACCGTACTTAAAAAAAAATAACACATCCCCTGAAAATAAGCCCTAGGGTGTCTTCTTGAGGAAAATAAATATAAGACCCTGTCTTATTTTGGGGGAAACGAGGTAGTCAACTCAAGATTTTGACTAGAAAAAATGAAAACGCCTAACACTATCCTGGCATCAAAGAAGTAGCAAGACATGACATTATAGAATATATAAAACATCAATAAAAAATTAGCATGAGAACATGGGAATCAACTAAAACAGTTCTTAGAAAAAAACTAATAACTTAAAATATTTATACTATTTAACAAGAACAATTTAACAATGAATTCAACATTAGAATTAGTAAAGCCAAATGCAGAAACTAATGAATTAGAACTGAAGAAACTCATCAAAATAAATTCAAAAGATGCTTCTATGAAAAGAAATATATGATGAATCTATCACTAAAAAATTAGGTAATTTTTTAAAAGTAGACAAGAGAATACAAAAACACAAAAGTAACAAAAATGCAATAGAGAAATTTATAAAAAGCCTATTTATTTCATGCATATTTTCACAATAAATTTGAAAATAAATGGAATGATTTTTCTTATAAAATATGTATTGTTTTGACTTACAAAAGAAGAAACAGAAAATCTAAGCGAACAGACCAAGAAACAGGAAAATTGAGAAGTTTTCAAATTGCTAGTCACTATACAAGTATCCTACACATTGAAAATTTCATAGAATGAATTCTACTTTAAGTTTAAAAATATCTCCTAGATAAACTTTTACGGAACATAGAAAAAAGCTTAAATTCAATTTATAAATTCTTTATAGCACTGATGAAAAAAACCTAACTTACTAAGAAAAATACAATGACATCTGATCTCATTTGTGAGCATCACAGAAATATTTAGGAGTAGAATCACTAGGCTGTACGGTAAGTTTATGTTTAACTTTATAAAAAAACCAAAAACTAGGCCGGGCGTGGTGGCTCACGCCTGTAATCCTAGCGCTCTGGGAGGCCGAGGCGGGCGGATTGCTCGAGGTCAGGAGTTCGAAACCAGCCTGAGCAAGAGCAAGACCCCGTCTCTACTATAAATAGAAAGAAATTAATTGGCCAACTAATATATATACAAAAAATTAGCCGGGCTTGGTGGCGCATGCCTGTAGTCCCAGCTACTTGGGAGGCTGAGGCAGGAGGATTGCTTGAGCCAGGAGTTTGAGGTTGCTGTGAGCTAGGCTGACGCCATGGCACTCACTCTAGCCTGGGCAACAAAAATGAGACACTGTCTAAAAAAAAAAAAAAACCAAAAACTGCTTTCCAGAATGTGTCATTTTGTACTTCCAATAGCAATATTTGAGATATACAGTTGCTCTACCATCCTTGTCAATATTTGGTATTGTTGGTCTTCCAAATTTTAGTCATTTTAATGGCTGTGTAGAGATACTGCATTGTGATTTGAATTTTACTTTTTCTGATTACTAATGTGCTCACTAGCTACTCATATACCTTTTGTGGTGGGGAATTCTTTATTCTGGATACATCCTTATGTATGCATTGTAAACATTTTTCTCCAAGGCTATGGCTTGCTTTTTCATTTTCTTGATTTTGGAAAGCAGAAATTTTAAATTTTCATTAGTTCAATTTATCAATATTTTCTTTTATACTTGACGCCTTTCATATTATAAAAAAATCCTTGCTTACCTCAAGATCACAAAGATTTTCTCAAAGATTTTCTACTAGAAGTTTCATATTTTTAGCTTTTATGTTTATTTAGATCTGTGATCCATTTCAAGTTAATTTTTGTATACAATGTTGAAGGAAAAGTCAAGGTTCATTACTTTTCCATACAAATATCCAATAGATCCAGCACTGTTTGTTGGAAAGACTATCCTTTTACTCATTGAATTACCTTAGCACCGTTGCTGAAATCAATTAGCCATGTATGTGTGGTTCTATTTCTATTCTTTTCCACTGATCTCTACATTTATTCTTATGCTGAAACAATACTGTCCTCAACTGTAGCTTTACAGTAAATCTTAAAATCAGGTAGTATAAATCCTTCAACTTTGTTCTTTTTTAAAAATTATTCTGTGGCTTGTTGCAGTGGCTCACACCTGTAATTCCAGTGCTTTAGGAAGCCAAGGTGGGGAGACTACTTGGGGCCAGAGTTCAGGACCAGCCTGGGCAACATAGTAAGACCCCATCATTATAAAAAAGAAGAAAAAAATTAGCTGGGCATGCCCATAGTCCCAGCTTCTCAGGAGAGGCTGAGGTGGGGGATCCCTTGAGGCCAGGAATTTTAGGCTGCAGTGAACTATGATCACACCACTGCACTTCAGCCTGGGTGACAGAGCAAGACCCTGTCTCAAAAAATACAAAACAATAAATCAGGGTTGGCAAATTTTTTTGGTAAAGGGCCACACAGTAAATATTTTAGGCTTGCAGGACATATGGTCTCTCGTCACAACTACTGAACTATGCTGTTGTAGCATGAAAGAAACCATAGATAATACATAAACAAATAGTTGTACTTGTGTTCCAATAAAATTTTATTTATGGAGACGGGTATATTCTCTTTAACTCTGTTGTTTTGTAATTATTTAGAATAACTTAAAATATTTAAAAATTATGTTTATCTCTG